ATGTGCCAAGAGGCAGTCAGTTCCCCAAGGTGCTAAGAGGAGGCAGGGAGGCAAAACTTCTCCCAGGAGCTAGCCTCCTTCAGCTCAGCCCCCACACTGCCCTTCCAGTGTGTTTGCCCAGCAGAGGCATGGCCTTACACCAGCAGACAGAGATCTGGCCATCGCTGCACACACCTCCTCTCCCACACAGCACCAGGGCGCTAACAGGGCCTGACTACCAGCCTTGTGATCTGCCTCTGTGTGTTTCACTACTGCACCAGCGACAAACATGTACCAGGATCCTGTACTAACAGAGAGGGCTCAGCTCTCCCAGCACTGTACATCTCCTCAACTCTTCCAAAAACGGAGTCCAGCTTATTAAATTCCATAGAGGAAACAGTCACCATCAAAGCGTGAACTGTCAACTTGAAGGTAACATTTAAATATTTGAGAAGTAAATGCAAATAAAGAGATTCCAAGTGAGAAGGCTCAAAGGTCAACCCTGCTTTGGGCTAATGGCAGTAACATTTGCAGCAGGACTACTTTGCTGGGAAAGGCAAAGAAATGGAGGACTAAAACAAAAAAAGCGTAAAGAAACAAACTTGCCACCTTCATGGGTTTCACAAAGACTTGCTCTTAAAGGCATACTCATTGCAGCTTGTGATTATATTCAAATTTCTTATCTTACATATGAAAAATAAGTAATTTCCTCTTTTGAGAGAAAAGAGACAGCTGAACCCAAACAGGCAAATGATAAAGCTTTTACCTTTTCTTAGGATCTTACCATCTAAGTCATTTACACCAAACAAAGTGTTTACAATGAAAGCTGAAGGTTGTTCTCCAGGTGCATTCAAGTGTTACTTTTGCTAGGGAAAGCAAAGCCAGTGACAGAAGGAAATACCAGCTTTAGGATAACACAGAGCATTACAGATACTTTACACACTTTGCCTGTGCAAAAGAGAAGATGTGCAGTAACACAAAGCATGGCTGAGCACCACTCATGCAGTAAGGGTCCTTTTCAAAAAGCACACCAGCAGGCCCAGAACTTGAACTACTGGAGACAGGTTACACAGCAGGGGCATCCCCAAGGGCTCTGAGTTTCAAAGAGCTCCGAGTTTCAGCAGGTCAGAACTTACAAGAGGAATGGGTACAAGGCAACTGTTAGAAATCCACATTTCTCTCCTCCATGACACAGATCTATCAATAGCACTGAGTTTTGTATGACACACCAGAAGCACACTCCTAAAGACCTCTGCAGCATCAGCTAAGTTTCCTGAAGGTTAAGTCTCCAGCATGCTAGTAGATCCAGAGTAAAGGCAGCACTAGAAATCGCTCGCCCACTTTGATATAATTTCATTCCACATGTACAGTGACATACAGACCCCACCTGAGAGGGGAATCATCATCAGCAAGGAGTGTTGACAAGGATCTAGGGTTAGGCAGTTTTAATAGGTTTATCTTCTCTACAAAAAGGGTTCTTTTACAGGGGTGAAGCAGCCAAACAAATGCAGGGTAGGGGGAAGAGCAAAGCAGCTTTTAACTATTAAAGTGAACACAAACTAAGAAAAGCAGAATTTGGACAAAGTCAGATAGCACTCTAAATATGTCAGCAACTTCTACTTGAAATTCCTCCCTACATCATCTTTCACAGAAAACTGCTATATGGTCTTTCACAATTTCTTACCCCCCAGGTCACCAAACATGACATTAGAGCACCTACAGACAGGCACAGCCAGTGCTCCAGTAATTGGCATCTTCACCCTGATTTGCTTCTGCCTCAGATTTCTGCACTGAAGCTTCAGTCCTGGGATGGCATACCCACTTTGTAACTTTAAATTCTTAAACTCTGTCAGTGTCTCACAAGTCAGTCTTGTTGCCCACCGAAAAGCTTCAAAACCCTGATGTTGTAGAGGCATCTTCCTGCATTAAGACACTCTTACCTAACCCTTAAAAAATGAACGCACATGTATTTTTCTACTAGAGCTCTCACTCCCAAGGCCATACTATTCTCAGCTGTTCTAATCTACTTGCATAAATAAAACACTACCCTCTTTTAGGATGTGCACTAAACCACCAAGCCACTAATTTGCTTCATAAACCACCAGGATCTTTTTCACAACTCCACCTCTGGAAACAGCCACCTTCCTGTTTTGCTGCACTCCTGCTCCCCCTCCTCTCCTTCCTGGAATCTCATTCTCTACTGTTCCTCATTCACAATCAATCTCTTCTACCACGCTCCTACAAATCCTCATTTGCCTTACAACATTGGTAAGAGCACAAAAAAAAAGTTTTATTCTCTTTCTGGACAGTTTTATGAGCGTCTAAGAGTATGTCTGACACAAAATTCTTTATACATTATGTTGGTCTTTTTCTCAGGACACAGAAAATGTTCTTTCTAGCCAGAAATGCAGCGCAGCGTTCAACTTTCTAATTACGACTGCATGTGTCAAAGCTTACCATGTTTCTTCCCTCTCTGTGGGCTGAAAACTCAAGACAACATCCACCAGAGGTACTTATCTCACTCTACAGCATGGCAACATTTTTCAAGTAAGACATATTTTGCCTTTACTGATAAAGTAAAAGATGTATCTCAAAAGCAGCAGCAATAGTGCTTTTTTTTGCTCTCAAACAAGAAATATTTTTGCAACTGAATTAAGATGAACACCTAAATTGCTGAGCCCACAGGATTTCAGGATGCTCTTTTGTTAACCTACTGTTTCTTTGGCTTCTGTTCCCACTGAAATACTTCTTACTATGCCAGGTGGATAAACACACTTATTTTTGCATTCACAGCATTGGACCTATAGAGAAGGAACACAGAAGGCATCTCCATCCAGCACCAGCCATGCCAAAGTACACAAGCAATGAGGAAGCATTCCAGCAACCTCTTGAGATTATACTAGGCTGGGCCAAAAGCTCATTTTATTCTTCAACAGTTTAGTAACAATCCTGCTCCAGCCCAATCCATCTAGCACATCCTGTAACTCATCTATGCAGCCCCACACCTAAGGGGTTACTTCAAATCCCTTTAACAACATCTGGAAGCAGTCCTCCAACTCCAATGCAGCACTTTGCAGAAGCAGAGCCTCAGGAATTCCTGTTTGCAGGGGAAGATGAACGCTCCCCAAACATTTCAGTTCATTAAAAGCAAAATGTGTTTTTATATGCAGACCTGCACACACAGATAAGCAGGTACAACCTCTTGTGACAATGCCATAATCCTGCTCCAATTACTTTCACAAAGGTACAAACATTTCTGTGCTTGCAGTTCAAGTGCCTTGAGTACCATCTTCACTCCTGACTATTGGCAGATTGTTACCAGCAGTGTTTTAGCAGTTCCCATGTAGTCACAGACTCCCAGATTTAGCAGAGCCTGGACAGATTCAGCCACAAAAGCTGATGACTTGACAATCTACAGTTTCCTGCCTTGCCCTACCACATTTCTTCTTTGTCACCCATGTCAGCATGCTGAGGGCACCACACAGTACTTGCAGTAACAGCCCAAGATGAAGTTTTGCCACAGTCCCACAGCAAATGTACTTCCTGCTCTGCCATCTGCAGAATCACTATCGGCTGGCAGCACGAACAGGAAGCGGTAACTGCTTGTGGTATTTTGGTTAAACATAAGGGCTGGAGAAGCAAGGTAGAAGGGTTGCACAGATGAAAAACATTGCACATATTCTAAAAACATAGTGCCTCAGCTGTACTGGGAACCAGTGTAGGATTCAAAAGGGACAGAAGCAGGAGAGAATTGGGACAAGGTGATAAGCAAACTTTGTATCCCACTTTCAGGACTTTTCCTGACTTCCCAAATGATTGACTCTAGAAAATAAAAAGGAAAGGTCTGAGTGAAAATAGGAAGAGACAGAGAAATCTGTATCTTCAGACTAGTGGGCAGCAGTCTCCAAGGAACACCAGAATGGTGATGGATCAGAACCTGGACTGTAGTTCACAACTGGTTTCTCCTGAAAAGGATATGACACTCAGCACCCCTCCTGCTTCCCTCTACAATGGAACTCCTACCAGTTTCCATCTTTCACATTCTAACCCAAGAAGCTACGATGAATTGGAACCAGACAACTCTTGAGGCTTTTCCTAAAACAGTTGATTTTCCTGCTAGCAACCACAGCCGAGAATTGAAAGCCCTTTAATACTATGTGTGTGTGATACCACTCTTCTTGCCAGAAGTCATATTCAGGCATTGAATAAAAATAGAGGATTCATATGATCCCATCAGGACTTTTCTTAACCAGTACTTTCTGAAGACCAAAATTTGGCAGGTGGTAAAACTCCCTTTCCACACCTTTAAATTCTTTTTCATTAATCCATTCCCCTCAGATTTTGTTCCTGTGGGTTTTGTTTTGTTGTTTTTAGAGGAGGGGGGAAGTTCAGACTAAAAAAATAATTTTCCAGAGTTTAATAAAAATGTACAGAAAATTATATTTTATATATTTAGAAAAGATAAGGAAAACAAATATGCTTCCCAACTTCTTCCAAAGTTGCATGCATCCATAACATAGCCATTAGAAAGACTTTAGACTTCTTCTGAGCACATGAAATTAAAAGCAGGGATATCCAATGGAATACATCAAGAATCATGCTGAGATGTTCACTTTTCTTGATTAAAGGAAATGAAAGATTTTTTTACCTCAGCCTGTTCTCCCTGTCCTCTCAATACTCTGTCAGCCTCTCAAAACTCTCACAAGCAGCATGTCTCTGCATTTAATGAAATATTTATTCTGATTTCTTGTTTTCTTGAGTCATTTGAAGTTAAATGCTGTAGAAGGCACAAGGATCCCTTCCAAGCACAGCAAAAGAGGTGAAGCTGATCTCCCTCTCTCAAACTGAGGACAGTCATCAACCCCAAATCCAAGGGTCAAAAATTAAAATGTGGCATAGAGATGAATTTTAAGCCTATCCAACACACCAAATGGGAATCCTAGCTCACAGACACTTACAACTAACCAGTAAAATATCACACTAATTTCTCATAGTACAGCAGTGAATGTACGTTTACTCACATGCAGGTCCTTTGGATTTGCTCAGCCAACCTAGGACAAACAAAAGGAAAACACAGGATTATTATTATTATGCTATCATGGTTTAAGCCAGCAGTTAGCTAAACGTCACAAAGCTTTAATTCATTCTTCAGCCAATAGAACTCATTAAATTAAACAAGTTATGTGGCTTCTTGAGATCCTTGTTACTCCCTTCAAGGCATTTACTTAAGTAACACCGCCTGGGTCAGTGTATGTAGCAGTGTGAATATTACCATTGTTACATGAATAGTCTAATTCTGGGCCTATCTGCATCTGCAGCCTGGTCATTGTTCTGCAGCTCCTCACCATGCTCTTCCATACCACTTTGCTGTTAAGCTTTACAAAGGGACTGGAAAGAGGAATTGCTCCTGAAAATGCTCCCCCCTTCTCTCCATGCAGAAGGCCACAGTGCTTTGGGCTGACACTAATTTTTCCAAACCCGCACTTACATAAAGCATACAGGTTAGAATCAAGATCATCTGTTCATGCATGACACTTTCCACATTTCTGTCTGGCCATCCAGTGCTGTAGTGTCCTTGTTGCCAGGGCCATTGAATTCATCCCTAGCTGTGTAAACCCCTTCCTTTCAGCTGCATAATCAGAGACAAAGGAGACCTCTGCTTCGCAGAGATTCCCAAAGAATAGGAACAAGTCTGAATCTGCTCAATGCGTGGAGCGCGCTCTAACAAGCTGCTCTGCGCAATGCAAACAAATACCAGCGGCATCCAAGAGCTTCTGTGCAGAATAACCTTGGCACTGAAAAGACCTTACAACAGCAAGCAGCAGAGCGGCTGCGTTTGCGTCAGAGACAACACACAGGAATGAAGTCGTTTCAGTTTATTCAAGCTCAATTTATCACTTTAATGGCAATCCTAAAAATTAAAGAGCTAACTTTATAGCATTTTGCACGTGCAGTCAACAAAAATCAGAGTGTGTCTAAATCTAAATGGACTTAGAGTCACCAAGCCTGCATTACTATTAATTTTTAAAGGTTACTATTTCAACTGTCTCCTTTATGGGTACTGATATTTGTTTAATTCGGGATGTTTAATACTTGTACCAGCACATTTACTTGCATTTCCCAGGATCAGGCGATGCTATTATCAATAATGAAAGGCCCAACCTGTTTTGAGAGGTTTCTGACAGAGTCAGTCATGAATCCAAGAGAGATTACACATTTGGAACATAAATCATACAAAGCTTTCAGAGTATTTTACAGACTACAGGTTAAAATTTAATGAACAACTTAATCTGATCCACTGTCATTCTTCCAAAAATAGCCTGGCCAGGCAGGAGGACCACTGTGAATGAGACATAGATACAAGGCCTTAAGGGACAGAGATGAGAGGGAGAGGGGGAAAAATTACAAAAGTCACAGCAACAAAGAAAAAAGTGAAAATGCAGATTAAAAGGTTGTCATGGCTCCTCTCCAATGTTTCAAAAATTCCCCACCTCTATCTACTAAGCATCCTGGCTCTTAGCTACATTCCAGTTGAACCCTCAAAGAAACAGGAAAGTCAGATGAACTAAGCCTCAGTATTACTGAGGAGCTTTCCAAGTCTCCTTGCCTGCTCATTCCTTCATTATTTCCCGCAACTAATCTTGGAGAACTTGCCAGACGAGGAAAAACACTACAACTGTGATAAAGCTCAAAAAATATTCCTGAGCAGCACTCAAGTTTCCATAAATCCTCCTCTTCTGACACAGCTTCACTGCTTGCCCATTACCAAATGTTGCATTTGTTTTGTGTTAAAATATGTGCAGTGGTTGTTTTCATATTCATGGATATATCTTCCTATGAAAAGGGAACAGTTTCCCCAAGTTCTGCAGTATGCTTAGTGACTAAGCAACTTACATTCATCTCGTGGCACTCGAGGATATTTGGATAGATTGCTTGAGACAAAGTGCTGAGGATTTTTCTTAAAAATCCATGCATAAATAAAATCGACTTATTACCAGAGGACAGAGCAGATGCTTGCTGACTGAAAATGAGTCTGCTCTCTGCATTCACCACATGGCAAAGAGAACATCTTCCTGCCCAGATCATGAATATATCTCTAAGCTTTCTGGAACTTAAGCAATAGAATTTCTAAGCAGCAAAATGATTGCAATACAATATACCTCACATGGCTTTATACATACGAATCACAAGCTCGGCTTTCTCACTCAGGGCTGAGCCAGGCATTGTCTCCATGCTTGTCTTTTTATGAGAACATTCTTCTGCTCTTGTAGCAATTTTGAGCTCGTCACACTGGCTCCACATTCAAGATAAGCATTACCACCACAAGATTTAATACAGTCTCTTGCTTCATGCTAACATCGTTTTGCTCTGCTTGCTCTGAATGACTTTGCTATGCAAAGCAATAAAGTGAGGATGGCGAGGTGGTTGGGGGACAAAGATGAGGGAAAGATGATTTCCAAGCGCCTCACTGGTACTCTTTGTTTCTCCATCTGGCCTGCAGGTGCAGCTCCCTGGGCCCATGACACATCACTGAGCACCCCCATCCTTCCCAGCAATTGGCTTTTGGGTTGCTACATCCCAGTCTGAGGAAAACCGTGCATGGAAGCGCTCCTCAGCGAGCCCTCCCCACGACTTCTTCCCCTGCGTGTCCTGCCCTCTGCTATGATCCTGGCTCCCCTCTGTTTTCTCACTTCCCCTGCAGGAAATGCTTCCTGCCTAGCCACTATAATCCTGTTTAGCTGATGATCTGCCTTGAGCAGTTCACCACAACTGGTTTCAGATCCTGAAGAAAAAAGAACACAGAAAGGGAAACACAATGCAGAATCACTCCCGGGTCTTCTGGCATGCCTAACTAGTGCTTTTGTAACATGACTGGATGTCTCAAAAATTATATTAAAAAGGATTGCCAGTATTGTGGCAGCTTTTCCCCGTGCAGCAGCCCGTGCAGCACAAGGCATTTGCATACTGATTGCAGTCTCAGTTGAAGGTGCTGCAGTGCCTAATGGGGTTTTCAGACAGTGCCCCAGGCTGGAAGGCATATCTGACAGGCCTGCATCTGAAACGAGGCAGTGACACCATCACCAACAACAGCAAGGCTGGAAAAAAAAACATGGATAGCCCAGAATCAAAAAGATCTTGTCCCTTTTCTATTGTCACTAACTATTCATGACAATTTGTCATGCTTTGAAGGGTGTCTTCCCCGCCCCCTCATTACCTACAAGGCCAAAATCAGGTCAGGAAGACACATAAGCCTGAGATATCTGATTTCAACAGTTTCTCCCTTCCAACTCAAAGAGCCAGGAATAGTAAAAGGAAATTAACTCCTCCTCCAGAAGTTTTCAGCACCAGCAGACTTTTCCATACAGGATCATCTCAACTTTGAGTGCATCTGGCAGCTAATGTTTATTCTGCTCTACCACACTGATGCTGAGGAATGTGGGTCACATGACATTCTCAGGTGCCATGATATGTCAAATAAATAGGACTTTACAGAGTTATGTCAAGAACTGAGGTTTTCTTTACATAGACAAGCTAATGCTTTACTATACAACAACAGCTAAAGTCAAATCTGTCCCTTTGGGATTAACTCCTTCAAAGTTCTTGCAAGAGCAAACAGAGTTCCTCCTTCCATCTCACGTCTCCTATGACCAGACATCTCTCTACACAAAAACTGGATCATGGCTGGTCTGAGAAAAAAAGACATATTTCAGGGTATATTGGGTAATCAAGCACACCCTCCACATCATATACTACCTTCTGAATATCCAGTACACTTCCTTCTTCCACTCATTTCTAAAAGGCAGATCTCTGGTGACATTTTTCATCTCATCCCATTCCACTGCTACTTACACTATTCACAACACTCAACCATCTGAGAAACATCAAGAGATGAGGGGAGAGGAAAAAAACTTAAGCTGAAAAGAGGATCCAATAGAGGCGTGCAGCTGGCAGGTGTAAAGGTGTCAGAAGGTAGCATACAAGGAAACACTGAACAGATTCAGCAGCTGTGCAAAAGAGCTGGACACAATCTCTGCTTCTACCCCTTCAGATGAACAGTTGCTACAGGGAACACGGATAACACTGTCTACATGAGAATCTCACTCAACAAAAACACGGTTCATGCTCTTGAGATGCCCCAAGAGTCACCAGCTGAAGTGAAGAGATGAGAATGGAGAGGAAAAAAACCCCATGGGAATCAAAACTACAGGATGAAAGACAAATTAGGACTTATTTCCTAATACGCAAGACTCATTCAGTTCAGACACTTCACGCTCTGCTCAACAAGTAGTGATTTAATTTTTCCTGTGAGTACAGAAAGGTGTGTACAAATACATCAACCGTTGCCAGTTTTCACCAAAAAATATACATCCACTTCCAAACTTAGATACCTCCCCCTCCCTGTAGCATATAAAAAGGTTTCACTTACCTGTGGACTGTGCTTCCAAGATAAAGGAACCAAAGATAACTAGCAGACAAAATAACCCATGGCCAGTCAAGGCAAGAGATGATCCTGTGCTGCTCTTTGATGCTACCATTCCATGGCACATCTTTTACCCACCAAGGATTCTTTTTAAAAAAATTCTGAAAGATCTGGTTGATCAGGAGCACGTTGGTCTAAAAAACAAACAGACAAAGCAAGAAAAAGTGTTGAGCCAAACACCTACAACACCTGGAGAAGGAAAAGGGAAAGCTAGAAACAAAGAGAAACCTTTTACATGTTCTAGCACTTAGGAATCTAAGTGTTCACAGTTCTCAAGGTAAAAGGAGCAGATAAAGCAATCTACACAGGAAAGACTAAAAGGAGCTGTATTAGAGAGACCATAACTTTTCCCTCACTGTCTGATGTTTCAAATGTGAAGACTGCCTAGCTTACAATTAATTTTAGCTTTTCCTTTCAAGACAGCCCCAGAGAACATAGCATCTGAAGGATTTGTTTCAAAAGATTCTTCAAGAGAGCCAGTCTTCCTACACCCCCACCACTTTTCAGAAGGTCTCTGACACAGCAGACTGTACGAGACAGCTAGGATAAATCCATCAAATGCTTCTTCAGCCACCTGGAGAGGCACAGCGATTCTGACAGCCAGCCGGCAGGCAAACACACGCTTACGAGGAGGAATGTAAAACAACTTGCAAACCTCAGGTATGATGATCTGACAGGATAGAGCACAGCAATTAAAACTGCAGGATGTGACACTGCTCATACCTGAGGGATTCACCCACAGCCCATGAGGCACTGTCATAGCAAAAACAGTCTTGTATACAAACACACAAAGCACAGCTGGGAAACAGAAAAAGCACAAAGCAAAACCTTTACTTTTCATGAAGATCCAGCAGAACACATATTTCACCAACCTACTGTAGTTTTACCCTGCAAGGCCTCCATTGGTAAACACACCAACAAACAAATCAACAACCAACCAACCAAAAAACACCCTGGAAAAACAAATCAACCAATAAAATAAAAACAGCCAAACAAACCCCATATGGAAACACGATTTCAACACTTGTATCCTGCTGTTCATTACACATCTGAAGCTCTCAGGTGAAAACAAATTTGCCAAAATTAATGTTTTTTTACACCTGACAACAGGAATACTTTTAACTCTGAGGAAAATCCCATTCAGCTGCAGCTTTTTCAGCTAAATGAATATGCATACCAAAAGGGGATTAGGTTTTTTATTTGGCCAAGTTTCCCAAGGAAATTCAAATCTGCTGGATAATCTCAAAGAGATCTGAGAAGTGCAGAGGCAGGTACCGCACTTTTTTGTATTTTGTGGGGACAAAGAGGACATCTGGGTTAGCACTCCTACTACTGGGGAAGGCAGAACTTCCAGATCCTTAAGTGCTTCTGAGATTAAAGCAATACACCAGTACTGACTAGAGAAACACACCACAAAAACACCCTCAACTCACATTTCCAATTACTCGGGCAAATCAGTAGACGTATTACGGGAAGCAATATGTAGATTTTCCAATAAACCTGGTAGGCATTATAGAGAGAAGAGGGTTTCCCCTTAGTTCCATAGCACTATTATGCTTATATATACACTTTACAAAAGAGCTATCTTTAAAATTTGGATAATTCCTTTTAGTCTCTCAATGAAAAATTCTTTGTCTGCATACACCCTTGAAGACGATATTTAAAGTATCATATGTATTAGAGCTTCTGGGACAATAAACTGTGTGTCTACCCCTTTTGTTTCTTGCTTCATTTGGAGGGGGAGGGAGAGGAGTGAATCTATCCCACTCTGCCTATAGCACAGCCTATAGATTTCTCATATATTCCATGGATAAGGAGCCAATGCTTTGTTCAGCAAATAAGGATACTTTCACTTACCTGCTAGAAAACCTTCAGCAACAATTAGACCATGGAAAGAAAAAAATACTCCATGTGAAGAAGCCAAGCTTCCATGGGAAGAACTGCTAAACCAGATAATCTCTATGTCTGCCCTGTCAGACCACCTGCATGGCATCTAAGCTGATATTCAATCGGAAGAGGCCAGCCTATACTCCAGGCCAACGGATAGCTGCTCTCCTCCAAGAGTCACTGCTCTACACAGAATTACAGCTCTGAAAAAGAAATGCACCATCTTTAACAAACGCCCTTCTGATTAGACCAAGAAAGCTCTGTCCTTCCTACTCCAATGTAATGAAGCCTCATTAGTATAAGAACCTCTGAGAGTATTGCCAAGGTATCTTTTAAAGGTGGCCCTCCCTGCCCTTGGAACAATGCACGTCAGGTGACATAGCAGCAGCCAGGAGATGTGTCCTACCTTTCTTTCCCTCATTTTCCTCCCCCAAAGACTACCCCTAGAAGTCAGCAGTCCAGCTCTGGTCTCTGAACAGCAAACAAGTTAGAAATATTTAAAACAAGAATATCTTCATGGGGGATCAATTATTGCTTATTCTTAATTCACTAACAGATTGCTCCAAAGCACAGCACTGTTTCTCTCCTTTCTTTAAAAATCAGACATGGTTTCAACACCTCTTTTTAGCTAACATGCCATTTCAATCCCAGGTTAGCAGGTATCCTGTCTTTCACAGGCCTGGGGCTGCCACTCCAGGAATGCTGTAAATTGATGCTGCTATGCCTACAGAAACATCCTGCTAGGCTGATTTAGTTTGGTGTGGATTTGAAGGAGACACAAGAGTAGCCAGCCCATTCAGTGGGTGACAGCATAGATAACCCCCTCAGGGTTGTTAGGAGACACAGGGTACAGGTACTGCTTGCAAGGATCCTCCCTTTGGGCTTCAGCCAACTTACAAAACTTGTTCCCAGCCTTGACTGTTCCCTGGCAACATTAGAAGAGAGAGGTTCTGACTAGACAAGAAACTCTCCCTTTTTCCCACAGGAGAGCTGATTTGGAGGCTATTTAGACAGATATTCAATTCTCTGAAAATTGACTATTGTTTTAGCACACTCCTTATGCCCACAGCTCAGGGGGAAGCAGAACTCCTCAGATCTCCACTGCCTGAAGTTAGCTGAGTGCAGTGTAGATCACACGCATTTGTCAGAGACATACTCCCAGTGGCATAGCTTAACAATTCAAGGGTCTGGGAGAATCAAAGTGTACACAAAGCACTAAGGAATGGGCTGGTTTCTTTAATGGATACTAAGAACAATAAGGCAGAAGCTGACAGTAGCACAAGTATGAAGAGCAAGGATATTTCAGACCCATTTCACATGACACAGCCTAGGCTGAAGGGTTATGTAAGGATTAAGTTTAAACAAAGATGTTTTTAAAGATAATATTTAGTACTGCCAGCAGTGCCCATAAATACAGGAATGAGTGGAGGACATTCTTCTATGTAAAAAGTTTATCAGTCAATAAAGGTGGAGGGTTTTTTGCTTTCTTTATAATGTAAACCTTGAAAAACACCTGCTAAATATAGATAAGACAATAAACCATCCTCTATATCCACAAAATCAATAGCTACACACCCTCTTAGGGAATTCTATGAACAAGTGAAAAAGTTCCCATTGCTCCCAGCTTGCAGACATCTCCAGCTCCTTCTTCAAGTCTTGACATCAAGCAAGCTTCTCAGTGATGCTTTAGCAAGAGTCCCTCTTGCACAGAGAATAGTAGTTTGCTTCTACATAAAGTCCTCAAGCAGACATCAGCTTGTACTGAAGCCATGCAGGCCAGATTTCCTGCTTCCTCTTACACCACCAGCAGCCCTTCCCAAAACTGACACACATATATGGCAGGAGTTCTCTGTAAGATAAGCTCTTTGGGGACCTTTGCCATCTATCTTCCAGACCTTCAGAAGCTGCCAACCCATACCCTTTGATCCTTTATATGCATGTGTAAACTTTCATAGGATTATGACTTAATTTTCTTATTTTTCTTATTTTGTCACAGAAGGACTCCTAGGTCCACATGGAAAAGCATTCTTTGGAAGGCCATATGCTCTGTTCAAAATGCCTGGCACAGTCAGGTCCTGTGTCACTGTTGTTGGAAAGCAGGTCTTCAACCTGAATTCCTCAAAGTTTATTTAGGGAAGTGTTCAGAATGTTTGGAATGCTACTGGCTTGCTTTTGAATACCATACTTGAAACTTAGCAAAAGAAAATTAGCTATCCTCATGCACATAAGAAATCTCTTTTTTATCCACATTATTTCCCCCTCACAGAATAATATTCAGACATTGCTTGCTAACTCTTGAATGCACACAGCAAAGATCTTAGCAGTGGCATGAGTGATGGGTGTGCACAGCATAGCTTTTGAAAAGCTAAGCACAGGCATTGTTCTTGCCTCATGGTCATGCCGCAAGTGGAATCTAACGTAAGCAGTGTGGTTTGGAGGATTTAACCTTCACCCTTAGTTCCTGGTTTTGTTGTATCCTTATTTTGTGTGCTTTCAAGGAGCAGTTAAGCTTTAAAGCAAAAAAGTCATCCTCTTGGCTGCCAAATTAAAAAAAATACAGAAAAATCCTTCATTCCACTTTTTGTGGTTGAATCAGTTTAGTTGAAAGCTTTTAAAAACAGAATTGTATTTTTAACAATTTAGGGATACCATCACAATTCAATTACACTGTTCAGTTTAAGATAGGAACAAAAGAAAAAAACAAAGCCTTTGAAGTTACCTGCAGGCAGTTCAGAAAAATCTTAATCATCTAACTTTTCAGCACAGCCAATTCTCAATTATTCAGGATAATGGGAAAAGGTGGAAGAGGAGAGGATGAAATATGAAAAGCCAAACAGCATGTAACACTCCTCCTGCCCAGAAACCAGATGATGTGTTTGGTAGCTTCATTTTACACCTTCATATTTGAATTACAAAAAGGCAGTTTTCTGCACAGCACAGTCACAGCATAAAGCAGATGGGCAAATTTCACATATTCCCTGTTACAAAGAACAATCACTAGGAAAGACCAAGCTGCTTATTCTGGACATTGGAATCAGCACACACCCTACTGCAAACAGCCCCACTGCTGAAGTGGAACCTGAAGAGTTGGATTTCCTTCCTCATTCCCCAGCTGTGCCAAGGATTTGGCCTGTGACCTTCAAATTTGGCTGTTTCTTTCATATAATTGTTTTGATTTAACTTTTACCTGCTCTCTCTCACGAAAGTTTCTAGAACACTTATTTTAAATTTTAAAATGTTAAATTAAAAAAAAAAAATCCCAACAAACGAAAGCAGCAATTGGTGATGCATAACTTCCATTTTCAAGAGGGAGCCTTATCAGAGTTTGCATAGAAAGAAGCCTGCTGGATGGGTCAAACTCTGAAAATCCATTTTAATCATTGATAAATGGCATGTACCTAACTCTCCACAGACTCACCAAGGCACACCCAAACTTTAAGCCAAGGAAATGGATTTTTCACCACTGGATAACTAGTGCCTTACAACTGGTAAAGTCACACCAGTATTCCTACCTCAAGTGAATAAACCTGCAAGACTCACCGATTTGCACAGCTTACTCCCCCAGCTTCCTCCTCTCTATCATTCCTATCACAGTCTGAAGTCCTTTTGGCATCTTGATCATGCTTTTGCTCCCCTCCCTTGTTTGCCTCCTTATCTCACTTGATGCTCCTCTACTCATTCTAGATACCCAATATCCCTTGGCTGAGGTTAGCCAAGCATATTTTTTATGGGCTGATTGCAGGGAATACTTCCTCCAGCTATTTCCCTTCCATGCTGGGTGCAAGCCTTTGTATATGAGCTTCTTCCCTGCTGCATCCTAGAGAAATGGACAGCATGTTCAAAGATACTCCTGAGGGGACCCAACAAGCCTCAACTCCAACATTCGTATTAAAAGTAAGTAACAAGGAAGGAACAGACTTTCCAAGGTGTGCAAAGAAGAGGTGCAAGGCTGCCAAGGGGAAAAGGGGTGGTATTCAGTACCTTCCACTGTCCATTGCACTATGGAAATGCTCAAGTCAGTGTGGATTAACAACTGCCAAGCAGGGTTTTTATTTTCTCTAAAAAATAATATTTTTCTATTCTTGCAAGCAGCACTCATACTTTTAGAAACAGAATCAGAGACAAGCCATTAGAAACAGTCTCGGTATTGTGATGATCCTTCCCCATTTCCACGTACCGTGGTTGTCATGCCAGGTCTGACACATTCACAAAAGATTTGAATTGTATTACTTAAAAAAAAATAAAATCCAATTTTCCTTGCTTTGGTAAGCCCAAGAGAAAGCCCTAAATACTATTAGCTCCCTAGGTTTTAAGACGTTTTCTTTAAAGTCACAGAATTTCACTGGAAACTTTTTCTGTTTTATTTGGGAAGAGGAAGATAAGAGAACAAAATCCAATTGTCCTTCCAAATAAGGAAGGAGTTAGTTATGCGCAGGCTGTGAACTTCCAGGAGCCAGTAAGAAGAAAAACAGAGCTGCAGAGGAGCAGTGGGAAGAGTTAAGTTAATGCACACAACTCCAATGCACTGCAGATTTTTGCACATTACGAAAATGCTTATAGCAGTGGGATCATGTCAACAGTGAATGAAAACAGTTATTTTTTAAAAAAAGTGCTGGATCTGCTTTGAAGAATTTTTTTTTTTAAACATACTGTAATCTATGCAATCTATGAGAAGAACTAGAGACTGGGGGATTGTGGAAAACACATCTCTCAGAGTCTTTCTCGGTTTTGTTTTTGGGTGTTTTTTTGTTGTTTGTGGGTTTTTTGAAAATGTCTTTACTTGGAAAAGTATTCCCTTTAGAAACTATTGTTTCAGCATTTTCCCCCTGCTGCACTGCATCAGAAAAGCTAGGTTTCATACTTTCAGCTTTAATCAGTACAACAGCACATTTACAGAGGACCATATGCACAAAATGTTCCAGAATGCCTTCCAAAAATAATAAGCCCTAAAAAAGAAAACTCACAGTAAACTGGAATGGCTTCAAGGAAGGAGAATAAAGAAAAGCCATGCAAAGGCAGAACTTCTTGTAACCAGATCCAAACTTGAAAAGTTACTCTCAGTAACAGGATTGACAAAGAAGCACTGGATTGGTAAAGTCACTTGTATATATCCAGGATGCTATTCTCATTTATGCAGCTATGTTAATCTGTTTCAGCCCGTGTACAGTAAAGGCTTATTTTATAATCCATCACTACTAGAACA